CACTGTGCGTCGATTCTCTTTATAGGCAGACGCTGGATCTTAATCTTTGGCTTTGAATAGCAAAAGACGAGGGACGTAAAGGGGCACAGTTTTACTGTCGCGTCTCAACAGGCAAAAAATATTGACTACAATTTGTCATTTTGTTTGCCAAATATACGTTTTATTAGTGCACTTGCACAACATTCGCATTTTATTGTGAATAATCAATGTGGAGCTTTTGCGATTGCGAACCTTAAAATTAATGCGGAAACTCCGCGGTTGCGAATGCGAATGCGAATATTCGCAACAACCCTGATCTATATATATATAGGTGTTTCCACAAAAATTTAAACCGAAAATGCAAGCAGTAAATGAGTTTAAATGGATAACTTAAAATTTCGTATTCAGATGGCGAAAAAAGGTTATAAAAACGAGAAACGGTGGAGAGAAGAGCTGAAAAAATTAAATGATGTACTACGTATTACTAGTAAAAATATTGTATGGGGGAAAAATCTGTCACGACCGATATGTCACGTCCGTTATCACATTTTAATTCTAAATTAAACCAACAACGAATTGCTTCTGATTTAAAATGAATTGGTTGTAATTTGACTTAATTTAAAGAATATTTAAGAAAGGAAACCCTCACAGGATTCGCAGAGTTTTGCTTATTTTTACATGTACTCTGAAACCACTTCTGTTTTTGTCTCGTCCGTTATGATCTCCTTTCCTTCGATTTTCTCGACACCAGTATTCCAAGCGCACTTAATTTTTTTGTCAACCAAAGGACGGTAAAAAAGCTACACAACGACATATTTTTTTTATAAGTGACTTACGCTTTCGTATGATTGTTTTAACTCCAGAATGCAAATAAGTCATCCCAAGATGCGCATCCAGAATGCAAATAAGTCATCCCAAGATGCACATAATGAATGCGGATGATTATAGTATTCCTCTCTTACGTTCTAGGTTTTGTTACTGATCCTTATATCTTTGTTCACTTTCTCTTACTATATACATGTTTTCTAAATTACGCAAATTAATGTTTTAATTAAATTTGTTAAAATCTATACACAGTGCAAATAATATATCAATACATTTTTGTTATGGTGTCTCCAGGCCATAAATCGGCGAGTTCTTTTCACCTTGTTGCGTATCATCAGCAAAAAAAACAACCTGGCTGAAAATAATTCACTTGAACGCGCAAAGTTTATATAAAAAACTCGATGAATTTAGATATGCCCTTTATAGATTCGAATATTGATATTTTATGTGTTTCCGAAACTTGGTTTCTTCATTTCATAGTAAGGACTTAGTAAAAGCAAATGGTTATCAACTTTTCAGAGCTGATAGAAGTGGTTATGCTAGTGGGTTGCAATATATATTAAAAATAGTTTGTCCTGTAGATTAAGTTGTGCTTCCGGCAATCACCATTGCCGTCGAATATGTGTTTGTAGATGTGTTTTCCGAAAATAATAAAGTCCTTGTCGGTAGTGTATATAGACTAAATCGTTATTTTAATTTTACTAATTTTACGGAATTACTTCATCCTCTTATTGAAAACTATAGAAACATTATAATTGCCGGAGATTTCAATAGAAACTTGCTCGAAGACATCAGTTTAAGGCTAAGTATGGAATCTCTTGGGCTTTTCCCCACTAATGCATCCCTTCCGACACATTTTACCAACACTAACAGCAGCCTACTGGATATATTTTTTGTGAGCGACTTACAGAAATTCCTCCACTACAAAATCTGCACCTGGATTCTCAAAACATGATCTGATTTTTTGGACATATGACACCCGAACGCCAGGAACACCAACCTCTTTTACATATCGTGACTTCAAATATATTGACTTTACTTCACTTACAGCTGCGGTTGAGTTAGTGGAGTGGACACATATTCAGAATCTCGTATCTATTCAGGACCAAACTAGCTTCCTACCAGACCATATTAAGTGGCTTTTTGACTGCTATGTTCCGATCAGGCATAAAATAATAAACCGACACAGTATGCCTTGGTTTAATGTGAATATATAAACCGTTTGATAAATATACGGAATCAGGCCTACACGAGATGGAAAAGGTACAGAACACCTGAAGCTCTTAATCTTTTTAAAAATGCTCGGCTTACTGCGAACAGAGCCATAAAGACAGCAAAAACCATCTTCTACAAAGAAAAAGTTAGTTCTGCTATAAATTCTCTGTAAGTCATGCAACTTTCCTTAAAATAATATTACCCAAAATCCTGCCACATTCAACCTGACAGCCTGTGTTTTTGCCCAGAGCAATGGAAAGTTGCCAGGGTTATTACTGCTCACAAAAAAGATGATGAATATAGACCTATAGCTATCTTACCTTTTCTGTCGAAAGTCGTTGATCGTATTTTATACAATCAAATAATTTCGTATGTGCAAGACAACAGACTTCTGTCAGACCGTCAGTCTGGGTTCCGATCGAAGAGACGCTGCACAACGGCACTCTTGGACGTGGTAGAAAGCATTCGATCACAAAACGACGAAAATAATATTGTCTTCTTAACCCTACTCGATAATTCTAAGGCTTTTGACTCAGTGGACCGTAGGTTATGATGTTGCAAGTTGAAAAACTTATTTAACTTTTCCTGCCATGCAACTGCCTTGATCAGATCTTACCTTGGCGGCAGAACTCAGGCTGTGAGCATTGGCCCCAGAAAATCTGATTTCCAACCTGTACTTAGAGGAGTCCCGCAAGGCTCTATTCTGGGTCCTTTGTTATTTGTTTTGTTTACAAACGACTTACCGAACGTTTTAAAATATTGTGATGTCCATATTTCCGCTGCTGATGTCCAATTGTATGTTTCCTGTCCTCCGGATCGTAGTAGTATTTGTATTAAGAATCTAAATTCTGACTTGACTCTTATAGGGGATTGGGCTACTAGTAACGGCTTATGCCTTAATCCCAATGGATTGTCATTCATAGGAATTCCATTGTCATTAGTAATTTCGGTAACATCTTGTTGGATAAGTCAGCCATAAAATATGTTGACACGGCAAAAAAATCTTGGCGTAATCTTTAACAAAACATTGACATGGAAAGATCACATTTTTAGCACAGTAGGTAAAGTGTATGGGATGCTTCGTACACTCTGGTTGACTCAATACTTCACTCCTTCAAATATAAGACTACTCTTAGCTAGCTGAGGTTTATGCAAATTGTGCCTCCGTATGTAAGATAAAGCTAAATGTTGTCTATAACAACATTGCAAGATATGTATATGGATTAAAAAGACTTGACCATTTATCACCAAATGCTGAAAAACTGCTAAACATTTCTTTTGATAACCTTTTAAAAACTAAGGTACTCGTTTTTTTACATAAGTTTATATATACAACGGAACCTCTCTATCTTTATGGCAGGCTTCAGTTTCTCAATCATCGAGGTCTACACTTAGAGTGCACATCAAATATCGGACTCGTGTGTCTGAACGACAGTTTTTCATACACTCTATATGTCTTTGGAACTCTCTTCCCATTCGATTAAGACAATTAAATAATGCACTGTTCTTCAAAAAAGAATTAATCAACTTCTATATTACTAAGAAATTTCATGTAGATGTATGTTCTTTTATATTACATTATTATATTTAAGTAAAATATTGTTATTTTTAGACTTTAATTCAAAATCATTTATGTTCCATGCTAAACAACTTTTGTAATTTCAATACCACAAAACTTATCCTTTGTCCTTTGCTTTATTTATTTTTTAGGTATGTAACTAGCTTAAATAATTCGTTGAATTGTTGTCCTAGGATTAAGTATCAAACAAATCAAATCAAAAAAAAAAATAAAAATAATTTAATAAAAATCAGAAATCAAAAGTTGTACGAGTGTCATATCCGACGTCATGGAAACACCCACGTATTATTCATAGATCTAATATAAATAAGAATGTTTTCAGAAATACTATTAAAAAGGTTAAGCAAAAAAGTATCAATGGTTATGGAAAGACTAGGTCTTACTAAAAATTCTCCCATAAATGATTTTTCGCACAATTTAACTTTTGTCGTTTTGAATTTTGTAATATACAAATTTGCAAATACTAACCTTTGTTGGCGATTTTAAAATTTAAGCATTAGAAAAATAATAAAATAGTTTACACTATGTTGTAGTGTGTAAATCCAGTTATCAAACCGATGTAGGAATGGAAAATATGAGAATTTTATAGTTGTGCATTTAAAAATAATCGTGTGATTACGTTCAAAAAATTCATTTCCACATGGCATTTTTTAAATGGAACACATTTTTCCATTTCAATGCCTAGTGGAAATTCGGCAACATCATCTCTACGTGGGTGAGTGTCGCTTAAAGGATTAATACAGCCATATTAAACTTTTTTTAGTGGTTTAATCATAGAAAACTAGGTGCACGAGATATAGGTAAACTAAAAAATACTAATTTAAAGAGTTCAATTTTCCGACTTTTGTCCGCCCAGATTTGGGATTCAGACCACTGTGCGGCATATTTAACTTCCTCAAATAAATAATTTTTCATCAAATGTCAGAACTAACTAGCTCTTAAAGACTATGTAGTCGCAGGTGAGAGACACGTTTGGCCCCTTAAACTTTGAGTGCAAATAAAACAAAACCATTATGACTTTGTTCACCGAAAATAGTTAGCGTGGTATCGTCTTTTAAAAACATAGCGTAGTTATTCCGTTACATAAATGGCTGGTTGCAATAATGCAGTGCAACAGTGTAATTACTGTATTCCGCACGTGGACGTTACATCCAGAGTTATTGAGTGGTTTAATATGTTCAGAATTTATGTTTATTACCTATTTGAAACAAGTCCAACTTGTCAGGGAGTCAGCCTAATAACCTTTATTATTTTCTAAGGGCGTATTTTGCAATGTAAATTTACTCAGCTCGGCTGTTAACTTGCATCGTTGTACAGAAACTCGATAATTAAGTGCCGTTAACTCTAGTTCGGCCGATCGCCGCTGTAAAACAACATTAAAAAGTATTTTTCTCTTCTCCAGATTTAAAAACTATATGGTCGCTTTAATGAACAAAAACCTTCTACCTGTCAAATTCCATCTTCCGCTAGTTGGAGAGGTTACTACCCTGAGCCGTGGATTGCTGTTTAACATACATGTAATACTATTCAGTAAGTAAAATAAATTTGTAATAATTTAAAGTGTGTCCACTTTCGAATAACGATACTCGTAACAAAAAGAGTATGTATGATAGTGTATGTCATATTCACATACAAAATAAACTAAATCTTATCTTAATTTCATTTATTTTGTAAAAGTTTACATAACAATGTTATATAATTAATGCGCAGCGCTAGTAGCAGTGGCTTTGGACTGATTGGTGACGCTGCACGTCAAACGGACCAAAGCTCTGCCTAAAATTCTACGCAATAGTAATTACCGTAAAGCGTGCTAAAAGACTCCTTCTGGACCCGACAGCATATCAACAGGCCCTGAGCGGCATTCACAGGGAGTCGGTCTCAAGCTACGTAGACTCGAGACCTGTGAATGCCGTTCTGGACACACAGCCACCCTGACGTGGGCGAGACGGAGCTTCGTCTGCCTCGGGAGACTCGGACCACATTAGCCCAAGTTCGCTCTGGCTACTTCAGCAGGTTGAACTCCTGTAGTGCGTTTCTGTAACCTTGCGATACACCTTATATCGTAAAATATAACGCTTTTCCACTTTTATCGCAAGCAAGTGTATCTGTAACTGTGGTGAAAAAAATATTGCTATAAATGATGCGCTAAATATATCACTAGCTGTAAGTCAAGCGAGCTTTAGTTTTCGCAACTAAAAGCGTAAAATATGAGTGAGATATGTACGATTTCAATTGTTTTAAATTTTTTTAAAACAAACCAGTAATTTTTAATCAAAAAACAAAACCGACTTCAAAACCGACTTAAAAATTTAAGATTATCGTTAATTTCTTCATGACCCGATGATCGGATTTAATTAAATTAATATGGGACCACCTGTGAGGTAACACCTTTCCTCTAAAAAAAGAATTATAGAAATCAGTTAACGTGGTCCAAAGTTATGCGGTTACATACATATACAAATATTCCGACGAATTGATAACCTTTCTCCTTTTTGTGAAGTCGGTTAAAAACATAATTGGTACGGAAGAAATGATTGATGCTGTCTGCAAACAATATCAAAAATCAACCGGATTTTGTAGAAACTTAAAATCAGCATATTATACTAAAATTGAATGGGCTACCAAAAAATTTTCCAAAAATTGTGCATAATAGCTTGAAATTTTCCTGAAAATTTGGGAAGTTTTTCTAAATTTCGGAACAAGTATGAAACTTATATTCTAATAAATTATGTTATAAAATTATATTTTTATAACAAATTTACGAAACAAATTTTTTGCTTATTTAAAAACGGCAGCGGCACAGCAAGCATAGCCACTTGAAAATATTTCAATTCTATAAAATAAAAATACTTTGCTAAAAGTGAAATTTTGTTTGCATCATTGTATAGGCTTATAAGTATGGAAAGCGCCATTTTGTTTGTTTACATTTGAAAACAGCTGAGACCTGATTTTCAATTCTCTCATTCTCCGCACAGAGTTACATTCAAGTTTCAGAAAAAACTTTAAAATGTAAATTGAGAAATATTTTAGAAAAATGTGTTTTTATTCATTTGAATTGATTAAATAAGAAATTAAAAATGCATGCCAAGTCTTACATTTTCAATAATAACGATAAATGTGTATGTTCCAGGCAATAATTTAAAATATTCGTGAAACTTATCGTTTTGCGCTAAAATACAACAATGTGTGTAAAATTCGTTGTCATTGTTTCTGTTTTGAATACAATATTCGTGCCTGCCGGTGGGAAAAATAGGTAAATTTGCATTTGTTTTTAAGAAAACATATAAATTAAATTATATTTCTTTCCAGAGCGACATACGGACAAGTAAGGTGATAAATTTGTATGATGAATATCGCGGAAAATCTTTTGCATCAAAATTTCTATTCTAATTTGCATTTGAATTATGATATCAACAGGGATGCTTTGGGACGTATTTTTTGAAGATAATTTCCTTATAAATCTTGAGATTGTTGATTTATTTTAGAATTAGAAAAGGTAGTTTATATTAAAAAATATATTTAGACTAGCAGTATGTAAATTACTTTTATTACGAATTGAAACGATTTTAATGAATATTCATGGTTACCATGACAGTTAGATCTAAGTGCATATTTGACTAGAAAGATGGAATACAAGATTGCGCCATCCTGGCGGCGATGACATATCTGTACAAAAGGTAATCAAAGTCGAATTGGATGTTGAAATAAAATGTGAGAACAGCAAATTTTCTTAATAATAAATTTTTCGATAAGGAACGTGTTTTAATTGTGCTTATTTCTAATAGCCTTATTCATAAACAATAAAGTAGCTTAAAAAAGGGTTTATAAATTGAAAAATGTTTGCAAACGGCAATTTAAAAAGCCGTTTAAAAATTTTATTTTTTATGAATAAGGCGATAAAAATATATGATTTAAAAAAACTTTTAACAAGGAAAACACGAAAAAAGGTGATTTTTGGGGAAGTAGGTATGAATTGCAGTGCATTTAAAGTTTCTGAGGTTTCGTTTACTTTTAGATCAGAATTGTCAAAATTGAGAAATTCAAAGTAGCAGTACAATAATCATAGAAAAAAAGATTGCGCCCTGAATGTGTATCTTTTTTGGTTTCGGTTTGACAGCGAACTGCTGTGATGATGTGAAAATTTACCAAAATGAAGAAAAATATAACAATTAAGTGAAAAATTTTGATTTTTACAAATTTAGTGAGCAGTAGCGCGTTTCAAGAACGATATTTCGGACAAATCGTTAATGAACAACTATTTTTCCTTCCCGTCTGCTTTGGTTTTGGCAAACAAGTTGATTAGTTCCTGCCGGCGATCAAGTCATTTCAACCACAAAATACTATTATTTACAAGAACCATTCACTAAAATTGTAACTAACTTTTTAGTATTTATTAATTCCTTTTTGATATTCAGCAATAGCAAGATGGAAAAAAATTATAAACCAAAACTAGTAATATTTTTATGAATATAATTATAAAAGTTCACAGAGGAAACGCCGGAAAACAATGTATTGGCAACGACATAAAATGTATGGCAATTTTGATGTCAACAGAATAATAACTACGATAAAAAAACATTACAGAAGTGTGCGAAGGAGGAAATCTTTTCAATTTGAACAAAAGAAGCTTTAAATTCCGTCGTAAAACGGTCAAGAAATTTCTTATAAAATATTTTGATTTTTAGCATGATAAAAACATTACAAGGTAAAATCATTGAGAGACAGTCTGACGTTTTCCAGCAATATAATTTTAAAATTCGAACTCAAGCTCACACACACATTCTCATTTTTAATCTAAACAACAACAATTTTGAACAATTTCATTTTTTTATTTTCAATTTTATATGATTTTAAAATATTTGCAAACGTCAGAAAAACATCATGGCCGACGAATTGAGAGAATGGTTTTACTTTCTAATGTTTTATCACGATTTTTACTGGTTGTAATTGAAACTCAGTCAAATGAGTATGAAGGAAAAGAAAAATTTGAGAATAATAAACAGATAAAGAGATGGGTGCACAAAAAGTTAAGTTACATGTTAAAAAATAAACAAATCTATTTTTTTTAATGTTACTGTATAGAGCTCTTTAGATCTATTTTATTTTTTATGAATAAGGCCATAAGCATAAACCGTTTTTATAAATAAATCTTATAGCAAGATGCTATATATTTATTTATACACTTTTTGGCTGGCGAAATATGTAGTTTTTTCAACTTAATAAAAAAGCGTATTTAACCACATACAAATTTTTTTAATATTGAATGGCGCAACACAACAACTGTTTTTGTTGCATGAAACCCTTGAACACGTGCCTGTCATCTATTTCTTCTGTTTCGACATTTCGCTAATTTGCATTTCTTTCATTTTGACGTCATTCGCATTGTCAGATTTTTGAAATTCGTTTTGGTTCGACATTCTGCTATTTCATAATTCTTTCATTCTCATGTCATCCATCTTCCATTTCTTACCTTCCATTGCCGTTCGCATCGTCGAACGTGCCTGTCAAACACTGCCGCCATCATGCTTTTCAGTTTGGCAGGCACGTCCGCTGTTAGAAAGAGAATAGACAAAAAGGGGATTCCATACTTGTAAGTATATACGATGGTTTGCATAAGAAGAAATTAAATCAATTTATTTGTTTAAAATGGTCGATTGTTATTATATTTTAAATAGAAGACATTTCATGCTTTTTGCGTATTGAAAGTTTGACTGATGCTGTCTGTCGCTTGCGGTGGTTGTTTCTAATGTGAAAGGCACTCGCAGTAACTTACCAAGTCAAGCAGATATTGCAAAAGTGAAACAATACATTCCAGCAGAATTTACAGAGTTTTATGACGAAATACTACAATGGCCAGAAGAAGAAGATTTTTAGAAAAATCTGCCAATTACACAAAACGGGAAAAATTTTTGGGGCGGCGAATGTTAAAGCTGTTTTTGATAGACTCTTTGGTGCTGATTAAGAGTCCATAAGAACAAAGTTTCCATCAGCTCCAGATTTTGAGAAAACTGAGGTCAATGTGTCAAAAAATCGCGTTTTTGGCAATATTTGAGAAGCTCTAGAAAAGAAACAAAGGGTTATATAACCTTCCACTTAAGCTTAAATTAAAGCTTGAACTCTCGACTTCTATCCCTGAAAATTTCATCCCTGCACCTTGACCGAAGTGGAAGATTCTTCCCCCT